CACACCAGTCAGAATGGCTAAGATCAAAAACTCAGGTGACAGCAGATGCTGGCCAGGATGCGGAGAAAGAAGAACACTCCTCCATTGCTGGTGTGATTGTAAGCTGGTACAACCACTCTGGAAATCAGTCTGGCAGTTCCTCAGAAAATTGAACATAGTACCTGAGGACCCAGCTATACCACTCCTGGGCATATACCCAAAAGATGCTCCAATATATAACAAGGACACATGCTCCACTATGTTCATAACAGCCTTATTTATAATAGCCAGAAGCTGGAAACAACCTAGATGTCCCTCATTAGAGAAATGTATACAGAAAATGTGGTACATTTCCACAATGGAGTACTTCTCAGCTATTAAAACTAATGACTTCATGAAATTCACAGGCAAATGGATGGAACTGGAAAATATCATCTTGAGTGAAGTAACCCAATCACAAAAGAACACACATGGTAAGCACCCACTGATAAGTGGATATTAGGCAAAAAGCTTGGAATTCCCACGATACAAGTCACAGACCATATGAAGCTGAAGAAGAAGGAAGACCAAAGTGTGGATGCTTCAGTCCTACTTAGAAGGGGGAAAAACAATCATGGGTGGTAGAGGGAGGGAAGGATATGGGACAGAGAGAGGAGGAGGGTAAAGGGGGACAGGGTCAGGTATGGGAGGAGGGGGGAATGAAGTACAGAGGGTCAGGAACTTGAACAAAGGTATGCAGCAGTCGGGGCTGGGGAACTGGGTAGCCACTAGAAAGTCCCAGATGCCAGGAATGCAAGAGGCTCCCAGGACCCAACAGGGATAACATTAGCTGAAATACCCAATAAAGGGGAGACAGAACCTGAAGAGACCATATCCAGAAGCTAGGCATGGCCTCCAGTTGAGGGATGGAGCCAGTCACCCATGTAAAAAATATTAACCCAGAATTACTCCTGTCTAAAGGAAATGCAGGGACAAAGAGTGGAGCAGAGACTGAAGGAAAGGCATTCCAGAGACTACTCCACCTGGGCATCTATCCCATCTCCAGACATGAAACCCAGACACTATTGCTGATGCCAAGAAGTGCTTGCTGGTAAGAGCCTGGTATAGCTGTCCCCAGAGAGGTTCTGCCAGAGCCTGATCAATACAGATGAGGATGCTCACAGCCAACTGTGGGACTGAGCACAGGAGCCTCAATGGAGGAGTTAGGGGAAGGACTGAAGGAGCTGAAGGGGTTTGCAACCCCATAGGTAGAACAACAATATCAACCAACCAGACCCCCCCCCAAAGCTCCCAGGGACTAAACGACCAACCAAAGAGTACACATGGAGGGACCCATGACTCCAGCCACATATGTAGCAGAGGATGGACATCAAAGGGAGGAGAAGCCCTTGGTCCTGTGAAGACTTGATGCCCTAGTGTAGGGGAATACTAGGGTGGTGAGGCAGGAGTGGGTGGGTGGGGGAGCACCCTCATAGAAGCAAGGGGGAGAGGGGATGGGATAGGGAGTTTGCAGAGGGGAAACCTGGAAGGGGAATAATATTTGAAATGTAAATAAATAAGATAAGATATCCAAACAACAACAACAAAAAACCCCAAAAACCAAAACAACCCCCTCCCCCCCCCCATGTTTTGTGGGGCTGGAGAGATGGCTTATTGATTAAGAGCACAGGCTGCTCTTCCAGAGTTCAATTCCTAGCAACCATATATAATATAGCAACCGCTCATAACCATTTCTGATGAGATCTGGTGCCTCCTTCTGGCCTGTAGGCATATATGCAAGCAGAATGCTATATCCGTAATAAATAAAATAATCTAAAAAAAAAAAATTTCCATGGCTTAAAAAAAAAAACAAATGCATTTTCTAAATGAACTGTTTACAGTTTTCATGAAGTCACCATCAACTACAAAATAATAAAATGCGAAGAGCTTTTTAAATTTTCTTTAAATACATCTTCGTCTATTTCTACCCAACCACGTGGTGGCTCACAACCATCTGTAAAGGGATCTGATGCCCTTTTCTGGTGTGTCTGAAGACAGCTACAGTGTACTCATAGACAAAAAATAAATACATCTTTTAAAAATATTAGCATTGGAGTTTAAACCAACTCATCTTATTCTGAAATGTCACTGTCATGTGACATCTTTCCAAACAACACACCCCCATAGTTTTGCTATAGTTGTCTTACTTTTACACTTGAGAGAACTTTTCGTTTCTGTGGATTTGTGGCCCAGAGATGTTTATTTTCTTCTTAGCAGCATAGTGAAATCTAGTCTGTCTAACAGTTGCCTGTTGATTAGTTAGTGGTGTAATTGGTGTCATGTTACTTATCTTAGGACTAATAAAATGACTTTGATAATTGTATGGATCAGAACCTAATAGTTATTTAATAATTTTTTAAAAATTAATACTAACGGAATACCAAGTCACACACTAGACAGGCCAACATTGAGTGCCCTGCAACAATAACATCTTTCCATTAGTTTTTTGGGAAACGAAATATCTATCCTTTCCTCCCACTGGTTGCTTTTGCTTTATGTTTTAATCACAGCAACTGAGAAGGTTTATCCATTTGCAAAGAAAATCCTGCTGGAAGATTCTCGAATACTGGTAGCATTTCAATACGAGAATGGAGGTGATTTAGGAAGGATTCATTAGAAGTGAAACTGTTGGTCACAGTCACAATGTAGGGAGTGGGAAAGAATGTGCATTTTACATGTCTCAGAGAAAGAACGTGGGTAGAAAGGATGAGATCCCACGGGGGAGAGCTTGTCAAAGCCCTGATGCCCACAGTCCTGTTCTAGGGGACTTTGGCTGAGTAATGCGCAAGAGACTAAACTCTGGGAGTAGAAAATACCAGGTCCAGACATTAAAACGTGCAGGTGAGCACCAAGGACAGCAAAGGGCAGATGGGTAGTGAGAAGGGAAAGCCTTCTTGAAGCCACTGTGTTTTCTGGAGGTTGGTAAGCACATCTGGAGTCTGATACCCAGCATCCAGGGGACTGGGTCAGCACATTATTCTAACCCCTTGATGGGAATGTTGCACAAGAGCAAATTGACGTTTACAGATTTAATATGATTGCTAGAAGTTCCTACAGATAACAAGGAAAATAGGCTAGCACCTCTTAGAAAGTATTCAAGAAGTAAAATAATTTCTATTTTTCCATCTCTATCTAAAAGTTAGTAGTAAAGAAAGGTAGGAAGGGAGACATTCAATATCGTGTGTGTGTGTGTGTGTGTGTGTGTGTGTGTGTGTGTGTGTGGTGTGGGGGCAGTGGGCAATCCCAGTCTAAGAGTCAACATGGATGCCATGGGGTTTTATTTTTTGTTTGTTTTGAGTCACCACCCAGAGAAATGTCTTCAAATTAGCATTTATGCCAACAGCTGGGTAAAAGCACAAAATCCTGTGCTGCGTTTCCAAAGGGCTGGATTAAGCAGTACTTGGTGGGGGTGCAGTGTGGGGATAGCTTAGCAGTTAAAGCAGTGGGCTTACAAGCCTGCAGACTAGAGTCTGGACTCCATTTCAAAAAACTGATAGAAAGAAAGGGAGAAGAATGCAATAACTGGGGGGGGGGGCGGGGGGAGGGAGGTCCTGAGTGGGGGAGGTGACAGGGAGGGGAAGGGGGAAATATGATCAGGTATTGGGGTGAGGAACAGGACTGAAGCCCTGAGAGCCAGCAGAAAGAATGGAAACACGCAACCTGGGAAGGTAGGAGGTAGGGAGACCCTCTAGAATGTACCTAGACCTGGGAGGTGAGAGATGCCCAGAGCTCAAAGGGAGGGACCTTAGATGAAATTCCCTACAGTGGGGAGAGGGAACTTGTAGAGTCCACCTCCAGTTGAAAGACAGCATCAAGTGGAGGGAGGTGGTTGCCATCCCACAGTCAAAAGCTCTGACTCAGAATTGTTCCTGTCTGAAGGAACTTCAGGGACAAAAATGAGGAAGAGCGTGAGAGAAAGGAGGTCCAGTGACCCGCCCGAATTGGGATCCATCTCAAGGGAAGGCCTGGGGCCTTGACAAATTACTGATGCTGTGGTGTGCTTCCTGACAGGAGCCTAGCATGGCCGCACTCCAAGAGGCCCAATAAGCAGCTGAAAGAGTCAGATGCAGATACTAGTACCCAAACAATGGACTGAAGCTGGGGACCCCTGTGGTTGAAATTAGGGGAAAGTTAGAATCTCAACTGACCTGGACCCCCCAAACCCTCCCCCCTCCGGAGATCTCTCAGACACTGGACTTGGTCTCAGTGAAAAAAGACAAGGAGGACAGGGAGTGGGGAGATCTGGTGAGGTGGGGGTGGAGGGGGTGGGGACATCCTCTTGGAGACAGAGTGTGGGAGGAGGTATGGGATGGGGAGTGGGGGTGGTGGTGGGGGTGGTCAGACCAGGACGGGGATGAAGACTGGAGTATAAAAAAGGATTAAAGAAAAAAAGTGCCTGGTGGGTGTGGTAGTCCCTTGTGATTCCAGCCCTGGAAGCAGGAGACAGAGGGGAAATCTCCAGAGCATGCAGTCTAGGGAGCTCCAGGTTGGATTACAAGACCCTGCCTCCATGAATAAGGTGGAAGAGGAATTGAACATGATGTCTAATGCATGTGCATCAATAGGCATATACACATTTGCACATGCACACACACACACAGATACACAGACACACCACAGAGAGAGAGAGAGAGAGAGAGGGTGGGTGGGAGGGGGGGGGGGGGGGGGGGGGGGAGGGAGAGAGAAAGAGAGAGAGAGAATGAATAAAGAATTCCTGGGAAGGCTTCAAAGCTTTGCATTTTAGACAAACGACTCAAGTGATTCTCAGGCACATGGTCTGAGTATCTGAGTATCTTGTTTTGAAAAGCATCACCCACTTTAAAACATAGTGGTTTACTTAGTTCTGCATGGAACTAGTTATGGAAAGGAAGTACCCGTCACACACCATTTAGTCAGAGATAAATGACCAAAGCACAGTGGGGAGACCTGGCCTTTAATGTGGCCAGGGGGACTCTGAAGGGAAGTGCCCTCCGGATTCTTACCTCTTTCGGGGACAGTATAGAAATGTAATCCTCGTATATCATCCTGGCTTTTTCTTCGACAGCTTTTTTGTTCTGCTCTTTCTTTAAGTCTTCACAGGCTAGCCAGAAGAGTAGGTTCTCTTCGCTGTATTCCGTTCGGAGGAACTCTCGGAAAAGGTTCCTTCCTGCAGGAGCCTTCATCATCTTGTCAAAATTTTGAGACCAGGACAAGACTTCATCTGCAGTGGGGTTTTGGCTGCAGAGACAGAATGAAGCCATTAGGAGCAACATCCACCAGTGCGCAGACGGAGGGAGCCGCTGGTGGTGTGAAATGTGTAGTCATGTGCTGCCCTCTACTGGTCAAAGTCTTGCTATTGCACGTGGCTTGATGATCTGAGAGACTATCATTCCTGAACCTTGACAAGAGGCAAGAAAAGGAGCTGTAAGGAGGTCCTTACCACATGCCCATGGCTGTCAGACACTCCTAATGAATCCTGCAAGTGGTGATGTTTCTTAGCAATTTGTTGTAAATGGATAGGAATAGTGTGAATCCCTTTTCTTTCTGAGTGGTTTGCTTTGTCCAACCGTAAGAGGTTATTTTTCATCTCCAGTAACCAATCCTAAAACAAGGATACACTTTGTGTATTTAGCACAAAATATCCTCTAGTTCTCAAGGTATTCCGTGAAAGGTAGGGGACTTTGGGAACACCAAGAGGAATTTTCCTGGACAATCACATATAATAAAGATCAAGTATTATCGCCAAGATCACCAGTCACCGATCAATTTGTCCTTACACCAAAGAAGGAGGAGCACAGATCGTGGAGATTTTTATTTTCTAACAGAAATCTTTAACAGAATCTTGGCTTTTGATTCAAATATATATTTAGTTAGGAGGGGCCATGTGCTTTATTTTTCTTAATTTTTGACCAAGAATCTTAAATAGATCTGCAGTTGTCCCATGGTGTCTAAACCTCTTTACTCATTTACAATATTAAATTTGGGGTTGGGAAGACAGTTCAGTGGGTAAAGTGCTTCCTATGTATGAGAACCTGAGTTTGAATCTCAAGCACCCATGTAAAAAGCCAGGTAAGATGATGTGCCCAGTGCCTGGGGGAAAAGGGAAGAGAGAGGCAGAGGCCAGGGACTCACAAACCAGTAAGCTTAGCAAAAACCTTGAGCTCTAGATTCAGCTTGAGACCCTGTTTTAAAAAATGGCAGAGTGTGATAGAGACAGACACGATCTTCACCTCTAAGATCCATAATACAGACATGGGAGAGCATGCCCACACACATATCCATATAACACACACACACACACACTCACACACACACTCACACACACACTCACACACACACTCACACATACACAGACACACACACTCACATACACACATATCCATAATACACACATGGGAGAGCATGCCCACACACATGTGCACATACACATCCATATAACACACACACACACACATACACACACACACACTCACACACACATATCCATAATACACACATGGGAGAGCATGCCCACACACATGTGCACACACACATCCATATAACACACACACACACTCACACACACACTCACACATACACAGACACACACACTCACATACACACATATCCATAATACACACATGGGAGAGCATGCCCACACACATGTGCACATACACATCCATATAACACACACACACAC